CTTTTGTAAACAGTCATTTTGTATCAAAATTACAGCTGATTTCATTTTTGAAGGAAAGAAGCAAACACCAGTATCACTTAATCCATTTGAGTTCTCATTAACACAACTCATTCCACCAAACTAAGTGCTGCGGTCACAGGATACCCTGTGGAGAGTTAGATAAATCAGCTGGAACAACAAGCAGTTTTCTCTGAGTCACTGTTTTAAGTCCAGTGTGAGATTTGACTTTAATGTGTGGTTTCCAACTTGCTCCCCACAGGACAATGTATTCCATATTGTTAAAAGCAGCAAACAACATAGTCAATATCTTCTGTATTTGTACTATAATGGACCAGAGCACAAGGATAAAATATCCTAATTCCATAAGACGGTGGCCTTTTCAACTACACACAGATAGGCTGGAAACCCAAAGGCAAGGCATACTGTAGGACTACAATACTGCTTCCCCATCCCTGGGCTTTGGTAATGACATGAGGAAAGTGTCACTTCTACATCACTGGTTCTATACCAAGGGGTCACACAGTTTTTATGGCTTTCTTTAGAAGGGTGGGGTAAGTCCTGAAGTCTTAAAACAAGTTTAGCAACACCTGTTCCCACAGAATAGTGGAAAGTCCTTCCACTTGGCATTTATATTTTCTTTCCTCTACCCTAATCTCATTTTTTGAGACTTTCTCTAAATAAAACACTTCCATTTATTGAGCAGACATTTACTAAGTTCTTACACTCCATATGGTAGTCCTCAATTACTGACTTAATGGTTGGTGGTTCAAACCCACTCAGCAGCTCCATGGAATAAAGGCCTGGCAATATGTTCCAAAAAGATTACAGCCAAGAAAACCCTATGGAGCAGTTGTACCCTGTAACACATGGTGTTGCCATGAATCGGGCTGCACTCAACACTAATGGGTTAGTTATACGTATGCGATGAACTATAAGGAGAATATATCAGGCTGTGGTTGTGTCTTAGGGTACAAAAGTAGAGCAACACAGCACTAAGGTACAAAGGCTCATGGTGTAAGAAATGTTGCTTCTCATCATTTGCAAATCTGTAGCTCTTTTTCTTCTTTAAATTGGCTCTTTCTCTGAGTTTGGGGATCACATAAACAATCAGAAGATAAAACACAGAAAAGACTACTGTTTCCAAAGAGAAATAAAAGTGCCCACTCCACGGTAGGCATTACACTCCCAGAGCTCCCACTTCCCTGTAATGCAGTATTCAGCTAGCAGAGTTGTAGGCAAGACCCTTGTATATTATTTCACCCCATACTATTTCCCACAGTGCTCTCCCCCAGATCAGGTTTACCTATGAAGCTTATTTGCCCACCAGTTGCAATTTCACAAGGTTATTTGTACACATTTCTCAAACTAAGAATTAGTGTGGAAAATGATGCAAAGAGGTGGGAATGATTACTACATAAAAAGGTTTAATAAGGCACAACTGAGTGTGATTACAGCGGCAATGCACAAAGAAACACAAAAACCTAGGTATATAATCATATGGAAAGTTACTAGATAACCATTTTAATCCATACAACTCCCTCATTATTTCTAGCTGGAAAAAACTGAGTTGGCTCCTTAGCAACATATTAATTAGTTTTTACCAAATTTAATAATTAAAAGAAAAATAATGAACAGAGCAACCACTGACTAGAAGCCTACAGACTTCAGGCTAAGCAAACCTTCTAGCACTTAAAGTCATACACACCTGAGGTACTCATGAATGCAGGCCTACAGACAGAAAAGCCCCATGGGACAAATGCCCCTTCTTGTATGTTGGTCATTATGCTTGTCCATCTCTCTCCCTTTCAACAACCACGAACTCCTTTTATTACTTTTCCCTCCAGGCTCTCAATGTATTCCAAAATCTGACAAACGCATTGCCTTTATTAAGTAATAACTGGTCTACTCCAGTTTTAGCACTGAAGATCAGTGACTGATCCCACCTTGCCCAGTGATCTAGAATCCTCCAAGGCTCCTAAGAATTTGTTAGCCTTGTGATGCAAAGGCAATCAAGGTAAAGAAGCATTAGAGGCTGAAGCACCATTCACCATCAGTCGTCTTGTGACGGCTGTTTGCTACTTCATATTCGTTTCAGGTAAGCAGTCATGGGTAAGTTCACTTAGGTGGTGTGACCACCTGGCTGGAGCTTTGATCACAGTTCCTGGTCCACATGCACCCTCAAAATTTCCTGTAAAGCCATCAACTGTTGATCAGAGAGCCATATTAGCATTAACTGACCACTGTTATCCCTCCTAGCTGAAATATTCCAGCCTAGAGGAAAGAAATTCATGGTTAGTTAACTTTAAGTTTAATGCTGTTAATCTTTCTCAAACAGCTCATAGACAAAAACCCTTATTAGGTCTGTGGACTATTTTTAGCCAAATAAAAATAAATAAGTAAACTATACTAAGACTGAGTCAGGAATACCGAAGAAGAATTGATGCCTTTGAATTATGATGTTGGTGAAAAACACTGAAAATACCATGGACTGCCAGAAAAACAAACAAATCTGTCCTGGAAGAAGTGCAGCCGGAATGCTCCTTAGAAGTGAGAACAGGCAGACTTCATCTCACCTACTTTGGTCATGTTGTCAGAAAGGGACCGTTCCCTGGAGGGGGATATCTCATGCTTGATAAAGTAGAGGGTCAGCAAAAAAAAGGGGCGCTCCTCAACAAGAAAGATTGACACAGTGGCTGCAATAATTGGCTCAAGCACAGCAAGGATTGTGAGGATGGTGGGCCGTGTTTCATTCTGTTGTACACAGGGTCGCTATGAGTCAGAGATGCCTCAATGGCACCTAACAACAAGGATGAGACTGAGCTCTGGTTCACAGAAACCCAGCAGCCCTGACAGGGGAGACAGGCCTCAGTCCTCAAGTCTCTTACCTTCCTGTGATTAATTTTCCTCACTTAGAAAAGGAGGACCCTTACAGATCTCAATTTCTGAGTTTCTAAATTCACAAAGTTGGAGAGAAGGGAGTAAGCAGTGATATGCATTTCAAGGACAACAATTTAAGCTGTTCAACCTTTTCACTGGATGCCTAACTACTTGAAGACAGAGAATAAAAATATACAATGGATTAGTGATTTTGCAATTATCCTATTCTTTTACATAAGCCAACTGTATGATTCAAGACTTAAAGTAAGATTTTTTGGCATTAAATATTGGCTTATTCATCAAATTCACATGAACATTGTTAAATTCCCACCTCATTTTGTCCTAGGAGGGAACTTAACTGCCAAGAATTGCTCCAGCCTCCATTAACAAACAGCATGTTTGTTTTTGTTTTTTTTTTTTTTTAAAAAAGAGGACTTTTTGAATAAGTTTTGGATAAGGTTAAGTACACAGGTTGTAATGGGGCCTTCCTCTTAACAAAAAAAAAAAAATAAATGACGCACAAAACTTCACTGAACAGCTCTCAAAGAAAATAGAAATTCCCAAGCATTGTAAATATTCTAAATATAGAGAGAATAATATATGCAGTCTTTTGCTTCTTTTTTGTAGTTTGGAATTATCAGAGGGAAGGTATGGATGAGATCAAAACAACAGTTGCCTCTGTAGTATTGTAAACGCACCTGTTTGTCAACTCAAACAGACACAAAACATTCTAACAAAACAGGAGAGGTCAGAGAGATCTGCACTGAGTAAGGGAGGGAGGGTTTGTTTCATTTACAAAATGTAACAAGTATTTCCAACACTATAAATAAGCTACCAGTAAATGCCTTTTCGCAACACCGTTTTTAAGAATAATATTCCAAATAAGAATAGCCTCTTATTCCTGCATTATTTTTACTTCCATACACTGAAAATAAACCTAAGTGCTGTCTGGATGATTAAACTAGAGACTGCATGGTATCTCTATACTTGTATGGTCATATAAGACTATGTCAAAAACTATATACCCTTAGTTCAAGAATCACTACTGAAGCTGAATATTGCTTGACCTACACAGTTGAGTGGATGCAATGGGTGGTGGCTTCGGAACAGACTGGATTAGACAGTATGACACTCACCAGGGCTGGAGAAGGCACCCACGAACTCCACAGGGCACTCAAAATTGGCCTGAGGAATGGAGGCTTCAATCATACCAACTGGGTCTGGGTCTGTAAACACTACCCTGACACCTTTCTCTCCTGCCAAATGAGGAGTTTGCCTAGAGGACCCCAAGGTCTCCCCAATTCTAACATTCTGTGACTCCACGAACTGACCTGACGAGTTCGGTTACTGGAGGACTGTGATTAGCTGACAGCAGTAGGAAATGATCCCATAAACTTACCCACAGAATGAATGGTTCCAAGTAGCTGCCCACTTTGGGCCTGTTAGGGGGAGGAGGACTGGACCGGTTTACTCAGAACTACAGTTGTACTACAAGCTGTTTCAAAGGCTCTCCAAATTTCTAAAAAATGTGTCACAAACTGGAGTTAATATTCCAGAAAACTAATAATCGTCTGGGCCCTCTGGGACACCTTGGGCAAATTACTATTTCTCTTGGTCTCTAAGTCTTGTTGAAAACTGAGGAGACAGAGATTTCTCCAGAACCTTCCAGATTCAGCCTTCTATTAAAAAGATTTCCTAGACAGGTTCCACTGTAAACATTTACCCAATTAAGGCAATTTACTTCTTTAGGTTTGCCTGCTACAGAACATTAGGCCCCTGGGGTCTTGTTTTGAAACTAAAGTTGGCAGACATTTCACCTGGAACAAACTCCTTACCTCTTGGGGGGGAGAGATAAAAGGAAAAAGCATGTTATGAAGTGATTATGAACCAATCCTTTCTTTTTGATCAGTAGCGGGTTTCATTAGGCCTACCTGGACCAGGAATTACTCAACCAGAGGAACTCCACAAAACCGCACACCTTCAGTGTTTGGATCTGATGCCCTTGCAGTATAAGAAACTTGTCATTTGAACTTACTTTTGTATTCACCAAGGAGAATTTGTACCCGTTCATCTACTGAAGAACACTTCCCTCTAGCTAACAAAGTGTCCAGAGTCCACCTATTTCATCTAGCGACACATTCTTTCAGACACACGGTAAAACCCAGTTTCTGCAATCCCCAGCCTGGCGAGGTGGGAGGGGTGCTGTTAGAAATTAAAGTTGCTGGGAGTTGCATTCTGATCCGAACACAGCTGACGGTGCCGGGTGCAACGCCAGCACCGAGGGCGCCCTGGGTCTCACGGATGGCGAGCTGATAGCTCCTGCCAACCAGGGGCAGAGGGCGTATCCGCCGCAAGCCGCTGCCCGCGTGCTAAAGCACGGTTTTCCTGCACAGATGTCTTTGCTCTCAGAGCCTAACAAAAACCCCGTGCCCTGGGTCTCGCAAAAGCACTGCGGGCAGGCGCCCTGAGCGCGCCCTCAAGAGAACCCCGGGGAGGGGAAGGGGCAGCAGGAGGCGCCCGCTTCTGCAACTCACCTTCTGCTGCCTCCGGGCCATGTCGGTGGGCTGCTTGGCGTTGAAGGGGTATGCGATGCACCGCACTACCAAGACGTAGAGCTGCAGGCGGATCTGTCGCTCCCGCTCCTCGTCCAGCTGTCGCTCGGGCTCGTCTCGCCCCTCGCTCAGCACTGAGGGGCTAGGACTCCCGGGTCTGGCTGCGCCGCCGCCGCCGC